ATGATCCCGTCTTCTCATCAAGGTACCGTCAAGTATCGAGCATTTTTCCCGCGTAAAGCTGACGGGACTTGACCATCGTTCTGATCTTTGTTCTAAATGGCGTGTAATAAACGTGGATTCCCTAACGGGCTATCAGGAAGGCAAACGCCGGCGCCGAGATGTGATTAAGATGAAGAACTTGAGAGAGGCGTGTTGGATGACAGAGTGCTGGGGATGCTTCCTCTGCAGCTGCTGATTGGCTGTCGGTTTGAGCTGGGCCGGTGAGATCAGATAACGGCAGGGAGGAGAGTGCCTGCCAATCAGGAGCAGCACAGACACGAGAGAAGCAGAGAACGCAGCTCAGGGGGCGGGTCGTGGTCACTGCAGCGGTGAACTTGTTTCCTCTAACCTGCTGGATTTTATAACCGCCACAGGGAGACTTTAATGAGCAGCTGTGCAACACGTTCTTTTTGTCCCAGGTCTCGCCTCGAAGGCTTCGTGCAGGCTGACCTCCTTATTGGACGAAGTTGTTAGGGCAGAAGACGCCCAGCTGACCAATGGTGTTTGTTTCCTGGGTTTGGATTGTGTGAGTCTCCTTCAGATCAGATTCTAAATGATGATCAAGAACATTTCTCTTGAAGGAATAAAACAAATCAGACGCTTTCAGAGGGTTACTCTGAGGCACGCCGTTATAAGAGGTCATGTAGAGGTCATGAAGAGGTCATGAAGAGGTCATGAAGAGCTTCTGGAGGAATACAGAAAGTCTCCCAGCGACCTCTGAGGACAGTACTGCTGTCTCCTGTCAGACGGGGATTCAAACCAGGAACCTCCTCGCTGTGAGAGCTAACCACTGCGCCACTGTGCGCTCTGTGTCCAATTTAAAAGACTCTAAGAAAAACTCATTTTGCTGCAAGCTGCAGCCAGGTGACATTTATTCAGCTCAGTGAAGTCAGCTCAGGTCTGGACTCTGGATCTGATGGAGTAGGTGTCATCAACAGAAGGAGATCAGGTCCGGACTCTTGATCTGATGGAGTAGGTGTCATCAACAGAAGGAGATCAGGTCCGGACTCTGGATCTGATGGAGTAGGTGTCATCAACAGAAGGAGATCAGGTCCGGACTCTGGATCTGATGGAGTAGGTGTCATCAACAGAAGGAGATCAGGTCTCCGGACTCTGGATCTGATGGAGTAGGTGTCATCAACAGAAGGAGATCAGGTCCGGACTCTGGATCTGATGGAGTAGGTGTCATCAACAGAAGGAGATCAAAAACTCTTTATTTAGCCATCATTGATTTCCAGAGAAAGCACAGGAGCTGGATGGAGGTCGAGTTAACAGATCCTGTTAGTGAAGATTCATACCAACAGGTTTAGATCCTTCAGTCTGGGGATGAACAACCAATCAGGAACAGAACTGTGCCCCCCTCCTCCCCCCCGGGTCTGAACACGCCCCTGAACCAATCACAGCCGACACCACGGTCTAGAAAAACCCTGAGAGAACGTTGATGCGTATGTGTGAGGTGAACGGCATCTGTCCTGGTGGACGCCGTATCGGGTGTCAGGGCGTAAAATGTCTGCAGTCTGCTTCTTTTCAGATTATTTTGGGGGGATTATTTCACTGAAAGGCAGGCGTTTAGGGCGACCACGTTTAGTGTTTCAGAGTCAGAGGTCGCCATGGCCGGTGTCAGATGTCAATCAATCAGGCGAGGTCGGGTTGCCTTCGTTAAGGGGGAGGTACGGGTTCGGGTCAACGTTAGGGGTCAGGGGTCAGCGGTTAGGGGTTAGGGCTCCACATACTCTTTGTTCCAGGATCGGCTCGGTGGCACGCGGTCGCCCTCGACCATTCGAACGTCATCCTCTGTCTTTGTCACGGCTCGATCCCGACAGGTGGAGCCACCTGTTTTAGGAACGCCATCGTGCACGCTGATGTACGCTGATCATCTGTGTGCGATTAAGCCGTGACAAATAAACACGGTCTGTGAGCGCACTAACGAGGTTTACATCAAGAGCTCATTTACGTAACGGCTTTATAATGGTGCCGTTGAAACAGGATCGTTACAGCTGCAAACAGAGAGGCTGCTGGGAAATCCCAAAGCTTTGTGAGCTAATGTGAAGTCATCACTCTCTCTAATGGCGTTCATGTGCTTCTTCTAAAGCTGCTCATCTTTTAAACAGATTCAAACATCCTGACACATGATGACACACACACAGCTTCAGCCAATCAGCAGCCAGCACACCTGACACTCAGCAGGTGAAGAGGAACAAGCTGAACGTCTTTAGTAATATATAAATGTGACCACCGAGAGCACGACAGGATGAACACCTGCTGCTGACTCTGCCACTCGATGAGTCCATCAGAAAGAAAACATGGACGCCCTGTAGAGGACCAGCTCAGAGGCGGTCCACTTCTCTCCTCGCTGTCATCTAAACGTCTCTGTGTGTTCAGAAGCGTCCGATAACACGAACGCCGTTTTCACAGCTTCGCAAACACTGAAACTGAACGATCTGCTCAGCGATGGTGTTAG